ACCTTAACATGGATAATACAACTCCTTACAATTTTTTTCCTATTAAAACTATAGCAACTTCCAATAGTAGAAAAGTAACTGACTGCTTTAAGCTGAATTTATGAAAGACTCCAACAGGAAGAGGAAAAATTGCCTCCTATGAACTGCATATGCTCTTTTTCTTTTCCCAGCAAGTAATCTGTTTAAAGAAAGACTTCAACCTTTGCTAAATAAACAGTTGTTTCATTTACTACCACGTATCCACTTGGCTAATGGAGTTAATGCTGCCCTACTGAATCTTTGGTCATATTCTTTATTTCAGAAATTGTATTGTATTTTCTAATAAAAGTCAAGAACTATATCAACAAAACAGTAACCTAGATAGGCTTTTAGCGACTTAGATGTACAGACTTGATTCAGAGAGATGTCACATGATAGAGAAAAATCCTGTTAAAATATTTTTATTTTGAGGTATTCTTTAAGCCACTTCTTGGCTTTTGCACCTCAATTCATTCACAGCTTTATTTTCAACTGGAGGAATAAAGCATTAATAAGAAGACAGATGATGACACTGAACATGCTGGTGAAGTCGCATAAGGACTATGCAACAGATACATGACAGTCATTGGCAAAGATTCAAGCAGCTCCCACATTCTACAGCTCAAAATAAAGAACGAAGTAGAACTTCATTAACCAAAAATAAAAATGGAAACATTTTTTGCAGAATAAAGCTACAAAAACCAGCAGAAAAAAATATATAATCTTTCCCATTTATTTTTCTCCTTTACAGGAACGCAGAAAGATGCGGCACAGTATGTTCACCTCTCCTTTCCCATCACTAGCAAGTAGCATTAAAGACATTCAGAAATGCAATTTGGAGGAAAAAACCCCGCACGGACCACAACACACACACACGCACGGACCACAACACACACACACGCACGGACCACAACACACACACACGCACGGACCACAACAGCTCCAAATGTAAATTAAAATTGTTTTCCTCAAACCAAGAACATCTATTAGATACTCACAAATTCTATTAATTAACATAATATCTAAATTAACTGCCATTAACCTAGGAATCTGGGAAGAAATCAGTTTGTAATTGTGGCTACCTATACTACTAGATTCTCATCGAGAAAACCAAAGAACAGCAAGTGGTCTTCTGCAAGTCACTGTTTTTCTCTCATGCTAGGAGTCTGTCACTATTCTACCAATTTGATACCTGATGATTTCAGTTGTATTCTTACTCCTGGCCTCCATCCATACCACACTCCATCCAAAACATAGGAAAGTAATCATCAAATTCACTCTGGAGTTGTATTTAGGACAGACACGGGGTTCTTCTCGTCCTTCACAAAACGACTATCTGAGCAACTTCAGCAGCTGAAGGAAACAGAGAAAGTTTCCTTCATAGTTCTCACAGCCTCTCCCAAAATGGTTAAGGACTTCAGCATAAGGAATTACTAACAGCAAACTCCTAAATAAGCACAGATTTAAACTCTCAGATTATTACTCCACTATCATTGTGAACTCAGCCTCTGGAAGCATGGTCTTGCAAATGGGCTTTCACAAGCACATGAGCCGCCACAGATACGCTACTCTAAACCAAATTTTAAAAGCTCTATTTTTTTTTTTTTTTTGCACAAGTCAAGCCAAACTTTTAATAAGGGTTAATTAAGGGTTAAGAATTAAATCGAGAAGAAAAAAAGCAACAACTAAAAAAAAGTTAAAATATTCAAACAATTTGAGCAAGACCTACATAACACTTGGTTGCTTGAGATGCTAGAAGTACTGTGTTTTAAGCCTGCAGTGAGAATAACTGCCATACAACCAGTGGCCAGCACTGCAATCAAACATGTCTAACAACAGTGTAAGCCTACAGCCATAAGACACTTAGAACCTCAGTATTTCCAGCAAGCACATTAGCAGATGGGGAAGTTGCATATTGAATGCACTCCTATCTTAATGAGGCTTACAGAAATATAATTCAACTTGCTTGCTCTCAGACACAGAAGGTAGAAAAAGTCTTGGAACAAAAATAACAGGGGTATAAATCTGACTTTCAAGGTCCACTGTTTAATTTGCTATCAACAAAGCAAAACAAAACAACCAGAGAGGGAAGGGGGAAAAAAAAAAAAAAAAAAAAAAAAAAGAAAAAAAAGAGTGCTATCTGTCTATGGGCAGCAAATGAAACCTAGGTCTCCTCAAACACCCTGCAACCTGCTTAATGTTTCCCAAGTTCAGAGCATGACACTCTCCCACTCTCCTTTCTGAAATGGTTCCAGCTGAAACACTGGCCTAAACATCACATCACACATTTATCTTTGCTGCTCAAACTTCATCATTCAAGGGAAGGGGCAGTTGTGAAAAGAATCACAAAAACATCTGGACTTTTGAAGGCTAGACCAGAGCATGAACCTCAGACAGTTCAGTCTAACTCCAAGCATATTTGATTCTCATGTCCTCTAGGCTAATAATCTTCTATGAAGCAGCACCTTAAGGCTCCATGGCCATATGATCTTCTGAATACTCAGTTCAGAAAGCTTAACCTAGAGAGTGTCATTAATCCGAAATTCGTAAGGACAGACTTCCAGCCTCCCCAAAAACCAAGATTTGCATGTGGGACAAAGAGTTAAGGGGAAAACCAAGATAAGGACAAACAGTCAATTCAAATAAAACACAGAAACTGCAAAAAGACATTACCTTTCACATGACACGATTAACAATTACAATAGTGCAGTTCTAAGAAGCTGTTTAATATGCAAATATAAGTCAACAGGTGCTAGTTTTAAGCAGCATGAAATCTTAACTGGGAGACTATTATTCACAGATGTTTAATTCTGACTAATAAAGAAAAAGGTATATGTATTTTTATGTTTTAAAGTCTGTAACTTTAGTCCCTTCTTACCCAACCTGAAACATCACCTACTAGGAATGGCTGGGCCTGGAGCTCCCATTGTTTCTGTGGGTTCTTTCTGGGCTTTGTCTTTTCCTGGGTCTGCAGCAAGGTGAGATGGGATGGACAGCGGAAGCACAATAGCCACAGTTTTTCTCTCTCTCCTTCCTGTTCAACAAGGAAAGCTGTCCCTCAGTTGGATAGACATTACACATCTTGACATCTTATTACACGTATCAGTTCAGAGCAAATTAAAGTTTGCAGCACAGTGAATGCAAAGTACTAAATATGAAAGCAATAAATATAGCTCTCTTGGACATTTCTGAGCCTGCTTTCTCAATGAAGAAATTCAGTCTTGTTGCAGTGGAAGGATTTACAAAAGATCAAATTTTACTGTCTTACTCCTAACCAATCCAAGCTTTAGTTGCAATATACAAACAGAACAAAGAAAGTGCTTTTAAAACAGACCCAGACAGTCTGCTGGCTTATATTAGCTTGTCTCCTACCCTCCATATTAACCGAACTCCAAAAGACACGGGGAGCAGTTGAACTATTTTTCGTACCTAAGTTTACCACCCTATTGGCAGTACCGTTAACACAACTGTCATGGTTAACTCCATAGATACTCTGCACTGGAAGCTATACACAGGTTAACTGTTTTCACATCAGTTACAAGCCAAAATAGCATTAGAAGAAAAAAAATTTACAAAGAAATGATAAATTCTGGTCTTAGCTATACCAACATCAATCCAGCACAACTCCAGTGTAGGTATGCTCATTCAGACACTCAGCTGTAATCAAAATATTTCCCTGAATTTTACTTACAGATTTCGTATCTCAAACCTATGCAACTTCCCCCCTACTTTTGCAGACTAAAGAAACCATCACCCAATACACAAGGAGGCAGGCAACAACACACTTCAGTTCTGACTGATACAAAGTAGTAGAATGGAGTTAGTAGAGGGTCTCTCCCCCTCCATAAACACAACATATCCACGCTGCACTCAGCAGAGTGATACTCCCACATCAACCCATGCACCCACAATAGATCCATTTCCAAATACAAGTTTTAGAGAAGAAGCAGGGAAAGCAGAAAGCATTTGGGGTGTTGTAAACACAGCAAGTTACTACCACTAGCTTGGCGGTTAGTAAATCAGAAATCTGAGTTCAAGCTTTGCTGTTAGTGTCAGGCAGCAGGCTCTCTTTCAAACCGTGCAGGCAGCAGACAGGTGCTATGTTGGAAGGCAGCATGTTCCTCCTACCAGCCTAAGAGGAAAGGCTAGTAAGCAAGATAAAAACCAAAGCCTTCACTTGGATTATTTTTTCTTTTCTGCAAGACAGTAAATACCCCCATCTTTTAAGTGTTAAGAGGTTTTAAGTTGTAAGAGTAATTCTTAGCCTTTTCCTTGCACTTCATATATACATACACTGTAAACTGAATTTCATCAAGTATTGTGCTCACTATGGCGTGCCTTGGCTACAGCTCACATATTGCACATAGCCAAATGGATAGCTACTGCTTTCATGAAGTGGCCCCAACACAAAAGAATTTTTTATTTCTGGTTCAGTTTAATTGAAGGTCATGCTCAGGTTCCAAAGGAAATTAGATTGGGCAGGATTTGCCCTCGGGTTTGATAATGCTGGTCAATCGCCACCCCACAAAATAAGTTTCCAGCCCTATTTGTTTAGCTACAACTCTTTCACCTTCTCCTTCCTGGAAGCATTCCTGACATCTTTCCCCAAATAACTCAACTGTTTGTTTAGCTGAGAAACTATCCTAGTAGCACAGAACAGTTTTTCTTCAGCTGCTAGGTGACATCATCTTAATGCCCTTCACATGAGAAAAGAAGCACAAACCACATCACCAACACATGTAATGTGTCCAGGTCATGTTCCTTGCTGGGTAAAGGAAGGCATTCCACATGTTAATCCTCATGTTGCACTAAGACCCTTAATACTGCCACTACACTTAGAAAAGGACCTATTTACCCACTTTGGCTAGGTGGTCGATTCCCACAAAAGTCTGACTTGGTGACATGCCTCCCAACATGGCTACCATGTCCAATTATTTAGAAGCCTTGTCATGAGGTAGGAGATGAAGAAGGCAATGTTGTACCTGAGCCTATTGTATGTCCAACGGAGTCAAAGGAAAGAACCACTGAATCTGTAACACAAGAGTACATGTTCATTTTCCCCTTTTTCTTAGCCCCATTTCTTGCTGCAACATTTTCCTGTTATTTTGCTTAAATAACTCCTTATGCTCCCTTCTGCCGGGAAGCAGAACAATTTCTTCACCAGCCAGACAAAACAACAGGCATCGAGCAAAGGCAGAGTGCTGGAGTATGCAACAATTCACAATGTCACTACCCAATGAAGAAGCTACAATTTACTGAAAATAATTTCACTTTATGCCTAATAAGCTCAGTCAACCTTATCAAAACTGAATCATAATACGCTTTTGAATGCTAGACTGGAGCGTTTTTTCTTATTAAATATATTATCAATATTTTGTCCCCACCTAGGGAACTTGCCTGTTACCATCAGCTCTTCCCTGACACTGTTTGCTAAGCCAAGTATTTTGTGCTCCTTGCAGTTCTCAACATGTTTTCCACATCTTTACTCATGCTAGTGGCTCCCCAGCTGAATGCATTTCAATTTATCAATACCCTTCACCTTTGTATTAGAGGCAGCACATGGGCCAAGTGTCAAAAAAATATAACCTCTCTACTTGATACCCTTTTATTTTGCCATCTGGTGATCACAACAGTGCTTTTACCCATGATTGCAATGACAACTCTTGCTCACCAGTTAATGCCCGATACTTTTAGTCACTGTTTCATATGATGCGGCACACTTGGCTTCAATTGTGGTTTACAGTTCCTAGTTTTTATATGTGCAAACCTGACATTCGGCCACATAGAAATGCTTATTGCCTCCCTGCACTTAGCTCACCCCATGATCCAGACCCCTTTATTATTAAATTATTTTCTTCATATACCACTCTCCCAGCCTAGAACCCGTTTGCAAAATTTACCAGTAATAATTTGATATTCTGTTCCAAGTGGAGCTACAACATGGATCATGCTCAATGGTGGGGGTTTTCCCCAGCTTTATTGTTACTTGAAACAAATCAACACTTATTTTGGTAGTAAACCTCCTGGTTTGCCCTCCATTTTGATGCCAATCCCAAGTGAAGCAGAAAGTCTACTGAATTCGACTCCACCACCAGTGGAGCTGAATTGGGCCCAGAACTTAAAGACTGTCAATAGATCAATGCAAAGAACAAAACACCATGATAGGATTAATAACTTTATGGAATGAGAAGCTTTAAACTCACACAGCAGTAGCAGAATTGCCTTTCATCTTCAGCTAAATTAATAGACTGAGTCCTTTAAAGTTTCTCTTTGTTAACTTAGGCCTCAGATGTGATCAAGTGATCACACATCCTTCACAGCACCACAGCTGCTGCCTCAGTGCAAGCCCTTAGCACACGGCAAAAAGCCCAAGCACAATCAGATTCAGCATGCTGAAAAGTGGTTAAGCTCCCACTGCATCACCCTACTTCTGGGCAGGTACCATCACAGACATGGACAGCTACCATGTGTCAGCTGCCGATAACTTGACATAGGACCGTGCCCTCAGCTTTTCTATACCATACGTCACCCTTATGCCTATTTTCCAGTTCTTACAAATTCAGTAAGAAAGTGATAATTTTCAAAATAAACAAGTAAAACTTCATTTAACTGGATTTAAAACAATTTTTAAAAAGTAGGTCTGTGCTGACCCAGATGCAACGCTGATAGTAACATGAAAAAAAAAAAAATTACTAGTCTCAAAACTTATCCCAATAAAAATAAAAATCCATCTGGAGTTAACAACTGTATTTCCTCTTTTGGGAATAAAATTCAGACATCTATATATTATTCTAAAGAGCAAGGGGATTAATTAATTTTAACTGCATTAAATTAATCTGCCATCAGTTAATTCTGAAGTATCTCTGTGGGGTTCTACTTTTAAAAAACTGTTGAGATTTTTATCAACCTAAAGTATTGCTTTGTAGTTAATGCCAAATTTAAATGTTGTTCATTTTCCAGCAATATATTTTGCATTCACATGCTGTGCATGAAATATTAGGACTTATCTAAGAATGGCTGAAAAGCATTGCAAGCACCAAATTAATACCATTATTGCAGCCCAGAAAAATAGTATAATGTTTCATTCCCCTGAGAACATTATCATCCTCCTGCGAACAAAAAAAATTACAAGCAGAGTAAGCTTGTAGGCTCCCGTTTCCAATTCAGTCCTCCATGTGACTACTAGTTTCACAGTTTCAACATCAAATTCACTGTGAATAACCTGTATTACAGTCAATTCCCTGCCCCCCAACCACCCACAAGTAATTTCACAAAGATCTTTATTAAAACACTGTTCATTTCTGGCATTAACACTTCAAAAGGGAAGAAGCTATAAACTCAAAAAAGGCTGAGAAGATAATCATGTGTCACCTTTCTTCCACCCAGACTGCTATCCACATTCAGCCAAGTTCAGAGCTACAGGTTACTTTTGTCAAAAGTTGACAGAGATAAGCATTTCTTTAAGGCAAGCCAGATTTATTTGCAAATACACAGAGTCCTGCTTCCATGAACATAAGATGAATAGTTTCTTTGCTTCTAGCATCAAATCTCTTCCAGTCATTGCTCAGTTCAAAATCCTCCCAGCTTTCTAAACTATTTTTTTTCCAGAGACCAAGTGGCTGCTCAGTCTCTGCCCAGTGCCTTCTCCCAAGCCCCTGAGTCCACTCTATCTTTCAAAAGCAATCTTCAAAGTCTCCGTCTTTCAAAACTTAACAAGTCACAATGTAAAACATAGCCACTTATGCATGCCCTTGCTTTAGGTGCCAAGAAGTGTTCGTATCTGAAGCAAGAGACCCTAACCTTTCAGCTACCTACTACCATAAAGTAGCTTAAATATTTTTTTCCTGCCTTCTTAATTGGAAAGCAGCCTTTACGCCCAAATCATGAAATTTGACACCAAATACCTCACCAATACGCACAATTTAAGGCTGCATACGCCACAATGCCAGCCTTTTACATTTGTTTTCATGTTAGCTACGAGCATTTTTTCAGTAGCTATAGCAGTTTAAGAAAAAAAAAAAGGTACAGCAAAATCCAAATATAATTCTGGATCTGATCCAATCCGTCAGAAGCAGAAAAGACAGAAGAAACACTCACTTATTTAGAAGGCATTCAGTGCCAGGAATAACAATGGCTGAGACCTCACCAGCCAGACTCCAAAGTTGCTTTAGGTCACTTTGTGCCAACCTTGTATCAAAGTTACATTGGGACGCCTGGTCACTTTCCCCTCCAACTCACCATTCAGCTAGAGTACAAAAAATTGGACAAGCACGTGAATCTGCCCCATGATCCCCTAAAAAACAGTGCTGTGCTACCTGAACGTGGTCCACCACAGCCCTTGCAGAGTGTGAAGTATAGTACGAGACCCCTCTGCCAGGTGAGCTCACCACTACACAAGGATGCTGTTTGGTTCAGGAGCCAGGAGCTCCAAGACAAACTGTGCAGAGACACTCAATGCTGCTCTGGGAACGAACTCAAACTCTGTTCCAACAATGCTCCAAACTGGACATAGAGCTGAACTCGCCTTTGAAGGACCATAACTGGATTTGTGCAGTTCTGTCCTCAAGTCACAATACCCTGCAAATCTGAGGTGGCTATGTTTGTTGCTGCACTTACACCACAGTTACTGTGCAGTCCAGATAAGTCACCCAGGTATGAGGACTGATTGTATTTCTACACAAGGGATGCACTTCAAATGTTGTTGACCCCTCATCTCATCACTTCACACACACACCCCCCTTTCCACTCCAGTGTCCCCCATCTTAGGTCTCCTGCAAATCCTTTCTCCTGTTTGTTTTGTTAACCATGAGCTTTCTCATGGCCTGTATAACTCTACACCACGCTCCCCTGTCCCCAACACAAGCAAATTAAATTACTCATCTTGCTGCATATATTGTACACCTAAGGTCTAGGCATTTCTGGACACCAGACAACCATGTAACTGCTGTTCCTTACAGATTGCCATATGTTTTCCACTACTCTAATCTCTGAATACAAAAAATAATTGAAGATTTGAGTCTTCATAAGGGAGTGATGATCCTGACCAACAAACTGCAGATTCATAGGAGACAGAGATTAAAAAAGGCATGTTGGAAAATTTCTTAAGTTTCTTTCCAAGAAAGAGATATGAACACCATAGGATAAACATTTAATATCATGCATGGTACTGCACTCAAGAGATGTGTGAAAATAGCTCTTAAAGCCCAATTGCGTCAAGTTCCTGAAATCATGTAAGAGCAAGTACACGGACCAACTTCCCATGTAAATACTGTCCTTTCTTCGATTTCATCATTGATGAAAACACAATATATAAACTGAAAACAAGCAGTGGCAACACAGAATCAGAACAGCAAATATGAAGCACATTTAATCAAGAACTGTATATATACAACCTGTATGTTTACCTAAGCGCTGTTTTCAGAATTTCAGTTAAGACTTTTACAGTGAGTCCCTCTGAGAAGCCACTAATTTTTTTGATTTTTACAAATTCTCCCTGCAAGGATTTGTAGATATTTGTCTTATGCTATCAGAAATCAAAGAAGCTGAACAAATAGCTTCTTTTATCCTTTTACTTAAAAAAAAAAAAAAAAAAAACTAAAAAAACCGCAACACATCGCAAAAAACCCAACAAACAAAACCAGACTTCAGCAATAAACCAACTTCCCCAGGAGAAAAAAAAAAAAAAGTCACTAACAAAAAAAAAATGATTGCATGCTGCTTTGGAAATGGTCCTGAGAAACCACAAACCATCAGTCCCAGAGGAGTTATAAGAGTTTAATAATAAAGGCTTAATACAGCCTCGATACCACATACCACTACAGTAACATGCTCCACAGAGTGAGCCAAACAGGGAATACAATAATACGTTGCAACATAAGGCTGTAATTCGGCACATCCTCATACAGAGACTCAAGCTCCAAGCTCTGCATTGCTTTCTTGTATGTGTGATCATTGTTACGTTTCTCATTCCATATCCCTGCTCTCCAGATACTCAGATGGACTCCTACAGAACCGCAACCATATTTAATAA